CTGATGATCTCAGGTGGCTATTATATACCCTTTATTATGATGTAAGAGGAAGGATAGTTCACCTCTTTGTTATTCTGTCCCCAAATCCATAATCTTAGAGTAATCATAAGAAATTATCAGAGAAACCCAAATTACAGGACATTCTGCAAAATACATGACTGGTATGCCTCAAAATTTTCAGGGGCATAAAAAAATTTAAAAGATTACAAAATTGTCATAGATGAGAGGAGAATAAGGAGACATGACAACTAAATGTGATATGGTATCCTCAATTGGTTCTTGGAACAGAATAAGACCATTAGCACAAAAACTGTTGAACTGTGAATATGTATGACTTAATAGTAATGTGCCCATGTTGGTATCTGTTATGGTTTATATCTAGATATCCCCCTAAAGACACATGTACTCATAGGTAGGGTTTGGGAAGGTGATTGGATCATGGGGGTGTGCTATTGGTGGATTAGTCCACTGATGAGTTCATAGCTAATTGTAATTTGAGAAGTGAAGTCTAGTTGGAAGAGGTGGATCACTGAGGGCATGGCTTGAAGAACGTATCTCCTCCTGCACCCCCTTGATCCCTCTCTTTGCTTCCTGTCTACATCCCATGAGCTGATTCTCCTCTGCCATGCTGCCCCTGCCTTGGAGCCAGCCAACTATGGACTGAAACCTCTACAGACTGTGAACCAAAATAAACCTCTCCACCTTTACATGGTGAGTGTCAGGTATTTTGTCCCAGCAATGAGAAAATAACTAAGACAATATCTTGTTTTTGATAGGTGTACCATAATAATGTGAGATAATAACATCAGAGCAAACTGAAACTCGATGAAGAATATAGTGGGCATGCTGTTGTATTTTTTTCATTAACTCTGATCAATCTTACATTATTCTTCTTTGCATCATCTAGGAGCTGCTAGATTGATTTCTCATGGTTCCCTGCTATTTTAAAGAAATCTTTTCATGATCACTAACTGCAATCCTGTCTTCTATATCTGATATTGTTTTCACATTGGCTCATTCTGCTTTGTATACTTTCAATGAAATTTTCAATCTCCTGGATATCTGTTTGAATCTGTTTTATGGATTCCATTCCTTTCCTATGCTGGGTGTTCATGGTTTCCATCATTTTCCTGAGATCCTTTACTTTTTAAAAAATCTGTATGTGCTTTAGAGTCACTAAGCATGTCTTTCATTCTGGTCACCATCTCTATAATTATCTGAGAAATTATTTCTGCTTTGAAGTTTTCTAGAGCCTCATTCACCTGCTTTGTTACTTCTGCTTTTACCATTTCAGAGAGTCCAAGCGGGTGGCTTTCAGATTGTTCCACCTCATTTCCCCCGGCAGAAAAAATTTGAAATGGCTACAAATTTTCCTAATTGGATGAAAACTTTAGGCTCACAAATCCAAGAAGTTCAATGAACTCCAAGTACAACAAACATGGAAAAAAACTACATCAGGGCATATCATAATCAAACTGCCTAAAATTAAAGATATAGAAAAAGTCTTAATAGAGTAGGGTATGGAGAACAAAGATAAATATTATGCAACTTCATAAGAAACAAAGCAAGTCAGAAAATAGTGATACAAAGTCTTTACAGTACTAAAAAAAAGCTCTGTCCACTTATAATTTGAAAATATTTGTCAAAAAGGGGGAAAGAATAGTTTTTCAACAAGTGGTGCTTGAAAACTGAATATCTATGTGTAAAAAGAGTGAAGTTAGACACATCATATACAAAATCAAAGACCTAAACAATTAAAACTATATAACTCTTGTGCTCACTTCAGCAGCACATATACTAAAAACTATATAACTGTTGAACTTGATCAAAATTTAAAACTTTTTTTTTTTAACCTCAAAGGACACTATCAAGAAAGTAAAAAAAGGAAGAGGTTAAGGGTGGTAGTAGGGATATCACTGAAGTATGTCATGTGCATGTATGAAAATGTCACAATTAAGTCCGTTATTTTGTATAATTAATACATGCTAATAAAAAAGAAAGTAAAATGAAAATCCATAGAGAGAAAATATTTTCAAATAATATATCTGATAAGGGTATTATATCCAGAATATATAAAAAGAACTCATACAACTCAAAAAAAATACAAGCAATTAAAGATTTTTTAAATGGACAAAGAACTTGAATAGACAGTTCTCCAAAGAAGATATACACATGGGCAACAAGCAATGAAAAGGTGCTCAACACCATTAATCATATGAATGAAATCCATATCAAAACCACAATGAGATATCACTTTATGCTACTAAAATGGATACAGTTTTTTAAAAAGGGAAAATAACAGGGCTGGGGATTTAGCTCAGTGGCTTCACTGTCTGCCTTGCAGGCACAAGGACCCGAGTTCGATCCCCGGCACCAAAAAAAAAAAAGTGGGGGGGGGGATAACAAATGTTGGAAGAATATGGAGCAATCGAATGCTTACCTCATATATTGCTGGTGGGAATGTAGGGTGGTACAAATATGAAAAAGCAGTTTCTTGATAAGTTAAACAGAATTGCTATATGATCCACCAATTTCATTCCCAGGTATATGACCAAGAAAACTGAAAACAGGTGTGCAAAGAAAATCTTGCACATACTTAGCAAGATTGTTTCAAAAAATTAAAAAAGGATTAGGGATATAGCTCAGTGCAAAGGTCCTGGGTTTAATCCCAAGTACAAAACAAAAACAAAAACAAAAACGAAAAACAACTTGTACGTATATGTTCACAGCACTCTTCACAATGACCAAAAGATGGAAATAATCCAAATACCCTTCAATGGATGAATGAACATATTAATACAACAAAATATTATTTGCCCCTAAAATGGAATGAAGTATTGATGCATACTGCAAATGGATGAATTCTGAAAATATACCAAGAAGCCAGAAACAAAAGGTCATATATCGCATGGTTCCTTTCTTAGTTATTTTTCTCATTGCTGAGCCAAAATACCCAACATCCAAAGTTAAAGAAGGAAAGGTTTATTTTGGCTCACAGTTTGTAGAGGTTTCAGTCCATAGTCGTCAGCCAGCTCCAGGCCAGGGTGATATGACAGAGGGACATCACAGAGGAGAAAGAGTTGATGGCAGAGCAGGTAGGCAGTAGTAAGCAGCAAGCAAGCCTTTCCCCTTTATCCTATACAGGCCTTTTGAGTGATGGTACCCACACACAGGGGTGGGGGGTGGGGTGCCAGGTTTCCCACTGACCACACCCACAACTACACAAACCAATTAGGGGTTAAACCAGTGCCACACACCCTTATCCCAGTATCACACCCTTAATCCACATTCACACACCCTAAATCCAGCTACCTCTGATAAACCCAGCTACCTCTGAAAAGCCCCACCTATGAGCCTTTGAGGCTTTGGGAGGATATCTAGATGTAAGCCATAAGAGTTTCATTTACGTGAAATTTACAGAATAGGCAAAGCCACAGAGAAAGAAAATTGATTAATGGTTGCCAGGGGCTGTGGATAAGAGGGTATGGAGAAGGATGGCTTAATGCGCAAGAGGTTTCCTGATGAAAATGTTCCAGAATTACAGTCATAATGGTTATATAACTTTGTGAATATACTAAATGCCATTGAAATGGCACATTTTGTCATGTGAATTTTACCACAACAAAAAAAGCAGTTATCATAAAAGTTTCTTTTTTTATTCATCCATCAAACATTTATTGAGCAATTCCAGGCAAGATTAATCCTGGATACCAGGAATACAGAGAAGAATCAGATGTGGTTGGCTTTTGAGTTTATTGGCTGGTAGGGGATAAAAAAAAAATCTTGCCAACGATTAAAGCCAGTTAAATGTTACAGTTTCTTTGACATAAGAATGCACACTGTACACTGAGGGTGGCTGCTTTACCAATCGGGGTAACAGGGAAGAAAAGCAATGTTGAAGCTGAGGCTTGTGTGCACAGTAGAAGTGTGCCAGATAGATGGCAGCAGGGAAACAAACATTCCAGAGAGAGAAGTTGGCTGAGCAAGCTCAAGCAATTGGTGTCCAGGTCTCTGGTTTTCAGCAGATGCCAAACCAAATATCACACGTGCAATGTAGGGGGAATGGAGTTCAGGACTGTAGGATGAGAGGTGGGTGACTACCTGTCTAGTTGCAGTGGGTAATGATAAAAAAAACATTAGGGAATGATGTGTATATGACAGGATGTTAAAGAAAGTATGATTCCAAGTGGGCCACTTGGGTGGGGCTCATATAACAAGATGAGCACACAGGACATTCTGCTCTCAAGAGACATCAAACTAGAAGCAGAATATACAACTCCCACTCTAACCCCCTCACCTCTACCTTACGTATTCTACTATTTTTCATGTTTTCTTTCTTTTTTCACTTGAAACATTCTCATTTCCCTGAGCTTTCTTTGTTTTCCTGTTTGAAATACATGTTACTATGGAAATGTCATGGCACAATATAGTGGCATTTACAAGTGAAGTGTAAAGAATTTTCAAAGCATTTAGAAATACAAGGCTGGGGTTTAGGGATATAAGCCCTAATTATGTGAATAGCATTCATGACTTGAGACACCATGTCATAAATACAAACACTCAGAAATCTGAGACGGCACAGAGGAGATAGTTAAGAGCTTTATTAAGATTTATGTATCCAGATTTTTAAAATTCATATGAGAAATATTAAAAACACAAAACATAACACACTACTTAGGAAGAACATCTGGAAAAAATGAATAACAGAATGCCAACATTTACTTATGAATACACACCCTGGAAGGAGAACCAGGGGATGTGGACACCCCAGGGAAATTTAGAAAAACACTCTGTACAATGTTCTATCCTATAAATGTTTCTTAAAAATTGTATATAAATCAACTACTGGTAAATCATTTGTTAAATGCAATGGTGAGCACTATTTTAAAAGATGTATTAAGAATTAGCATTTTAGTAAAGGTAATTATTACCAATGGCATAACAGAAAAAATTTACTGGATTGAGTAAGGCTCAAGGTCCTTCATTATTATCCTGGCTCTCCCACTAACTACATGTGTGATTCAAAAAAGTCCTTCAACCTTTCTGGGCCAATTTCCTCATCAAAGCTGCATTGTAATTCTGAATTTTCACTTACTAGTTCTTAAAGCAAGATACAGAGGTACCCACAAGCTAATGTTCAGTTTCTTCCAAGAGGAAGATTTGGTTTATTCTAAACAAAATCCTTGTGAACAGTGCTCCAGGCCCTACGTAAGAGGACTAAAGGTAGAAACCCAGTAGACCAGTTACCGTTGTGCTGTGCATTTTGTTTTTACATACATCACTTTCTCATTTCCACAATCACCCTCAGTGATGACTCCAACTTTAAGTTCAAAATTCTTTACAAACAAAAGCTTCCTTAGATTGGCCCTGTGTGAAGACTGACATTATAAGGTAGTAAGGAGTTTATTCTTGGTGCATCTCATCACCTCTGGCCCTTCTTTCCCTATCTCACAAATTTGGACACTGGCTACGAGCAAAGATTGTAGCCTCTGTGCCTAGTACAGGTCTAGGCTCAATAAAAGAATTTAGAAAGTGACTATTTACTGGATATTTTCCAAGAAGGGAGCTGAGGCACAGAGATGGGTCTGGTGAAAGATTCAAATACTAGGGGTGAACTTCTGGCTGCTGCTTTAAACATTTCTGAACTTTTTGAATTTTCTACCATGAGCAAAAATATCAACAAAACACAAGTGTTAAACCCTCCTTTTCCTGGCTTTTTGTCAATGCCCTGGTCACCCATAAATAATGCAGTAGCTAATCTCCTAATACTGCAAACTTTGCTCAGTTCTCCAATGTCTGGCACAGGGAAAAGGGCACACAGCTTTTCATTAAGAAATAGTCATTCAAGTCTTCTAGTTTATTCTGCTGAAAAAGCAATGACACTATGCAATTGGCTTTGGACCTAATGCCTGCCATCCAGCCCCACAAAAGGGTGCCTGCCAACTGGCTCCAGAAAAGTTCATTTAGAACAGTATATAGGTGCCACCTTGATTAATCTGCCATACAGGAAGTACAAAACCTAAGTGTAAGAATTCCTTTGTTTTCTTAAGCAAAAACAAGTTTAGGTCTTATTAACTATCAGTAGATAAAAGACAATAAACAGTTAAGTCTTTTGATGATTACTACCATTTTGTAGAGTAATTCAGGAACCGTCAGAAAGACTGAGGAAGCAAAGGCAATTATTATCTGTGGAGAATTTGCTACATGTCAGGTCTTGTGCTATGTATTTCATATACATTATTTACTATAAGCCTTACACCTAACAATCACTAACATACTATATTTTGACTCATTTATCTTATTGCTTATCTGTCTCCCTTATCTAAATGTATGCCCATTTGGAGGAATTCTTTTTTTCCCTTGTTTACTGCTATATGCTCTATCTGGAACAGTGTGAGACACACATAAGTACTCAATATTTGCTGAATGGAAAATTGAATAACTACATTATTTTCCTCATAGATGAGTAAACTGAAGCACTCAGAGGGTGCAAATGAACTGCCTTGTCACAAAGCTAGTAAAGGAACCAGAACTAAAACCCAAACCTCACTCTTTTGTTCTTCCTATAACAAGGGGGTTAACATTTTAGATCTTGACTAGATCTAAAATATCTAGCTTGATAAATCTACAATCTATATGTCTATAAACCATGTATTCACCTTGCATATTTATTTGAAAACTTGAAATGTCACTGAAAAGATATATTTAGCACTTTAATGATGATCATTTTACTAAAGCAACATTTAAGTATACATTTTTCGAAGATAAAAATTTCATCTATGGGTAGACATTAGCTACATAATTTTTCACTTTGAAATTCCACAACATGCTTACTCTTCAGACAAAAAATACAGTAATTCTGGACACCAACAAATTAATAGTTGCAAACCTTGATTTTAAATTACAACATTAAGATAACTAATGATTTGCATGCAGTATTCTCAATGTAGAACATAAATACTACAGTGTACATCCATGTTGCCTGAATGTCCCAGTATGGGAGGAGGTAGACTTGACACATTGAAAGCTATTCCTACGCTAAAGAAATATGAAAGGCTCAAGAATTCTTCAGAGAATCAACTATAATAAAAATCCATCTTAAGAATTCAGCTTGTATGACAGAATGTGAGAGTGAAATCCAAAGGAGGCTAATTTTACCCGAGAGAATTTCATATCCTTTTCCATTTTTCAGAGTATACTTGACTCATAAGTACCAGTATTCTTTTAGCTACCTAGGACAACATAAAAGGAGCATGCCAATCACAGTACTTTCTCACAACCACTTTGGTTTTAAACAGGGATTCTGGTCACATCTTCTCTGAGACAGGTTCTTTCCCCTTCTGTCTCACTCTTGCCACCAACACAAATATCATATACCCTCCATGTTGACCAGCCAGTTAATTACTTATAAATCAAACTAGTGATGTGGCCTCAATTCTCCATTGCCAACTTTCGATACTATTTTTTAAAAATTGATAATAAAAGTAAAAGAGTTTGGAGAAATATTCTTTAAAGCATAAAAACCAGGAAAAAATTTAGAACACTCATAATTCAGCCACCTAGAGTTCGCATGTCCTTTCTAGTAATTTAAAACACATTTTCTGGATGAATATACACAATTTTGTATCATGCATTTCACTAAACATCATAAGCATTTTTGCCATGCTGTTAAATACTCTATAAACATTCATTATGATAACCACATACTAGTCTATTGTACAGTCATAATATAATTTATTTAACCAATTTTCCGCTGTTGGAGTTTTAGATTATTAAGCATAAATTTTCCCCACATTTTAGGCTATTTCTTTCGGACAGATTCCCAGAAGTGGAATTAGAGGCTCAGAAGATATATTTTTAAAGCTCCTAAGAGATACTGCCAAATTGTTTTTCAGAAAGCTGTTGCCAATTTACACTTTCATCATTGCCAGTATGTTTTTCTACCAATACAGATTTGTGTAAAGGATAATAAAATTTAAGTGGAATATACAGTCCTCAAATTATTAATCCTGTTGGACAGGCATCATGACCACGGCACAAAGGCATACAGCAAAGGTCATATCGATTTTCAGGTGTGGTTAGCAATGACCTAGTGTGAGCACATGGAACAGAAGTTTTGCATGTTAAGAGTAATGTAATTAGATTTCAGGCAGTCATATCTAAGGCCTGTGTCTGTTTTGTCCAGTGCTGTATTCAGGCACATATACGCAATCAGTAACACTTGAGTGAATTAACACAGAATCTTCTTTCAGCAAGCATTCACTCACTGTAGGGTTTAAATCAATCCTGGCTCAAGGGAAACATGGTCTGCTCAATCTAGGATTCTATTACAACTTGGGAAAATCAATTTAAATGAAGGTAACACAATAAAGGTCACTTTAGGACATACCTAAAAGGACATGCTTTGACACCAGTTACAAGGTACAAGCATGCAAAAAAAAGTTTTCATTGAGTTTTATCACCTAGTACACATTTTAATAGGTGATAACATAAACTTATTCAAATGCTGCCCATAATCAAGGCATTTGGAACTACGATTAGTTAATTATATTATTGTTGGTTACAACTTGGCACCATTTTCAATATTGCTGAAATAGGTTTTGAGATATTACACGGTAATAATGTAGGTAGTAGTTGTGTAACATTTTTAATCAAAAGCAGCACAGAACTCATTTTGTGAACCAGAATACGGTCAAAGTACAACAGCCAATCAGTTTTTCAGCTCTAGTTTACTTTCCTGGCCTCATAAAGATTCCTTCCAATATTCCACAAGTCCTATATTGTAAATTGCCAGACATTGCCAGATCAACTTGGCATTAACAATGTTATTGATGGAAAATGATCAATCACCTGTCATTTTTATAGGCATACTGTATATACACTACATCAGGGATTGGCAAACTATGGCTCATGTGCCAAATCTTGCCCACTGCCTATTTTTGTATGGTTGACAGGCTTAAAATGTTTTTTTTTGGGGGGGGGGGGTTGTCTCATTATGTAGCCCAGGCTGGCCTCAAACTCGTGGCAATCCTCCTGCCTCAGTGTCCCAAGTGCTGGGATTACAGATACGTGCCACCATGCCTGGGTGTTTTTTATTTTTAAATGGCTGGGGGGGAAATTTTTTAAAAATATCTTGTAGAAACTATATGAAATTCAAATTCTAGTATCCACTTATAAAGTTTTATTGGAACACAGCCATGTTCATGTTTCCATAATAGCTATGTCTGCTTTTGCACTAAAATGTCGAGCAGCTGCAATAGAAACCATATGGCTCATAAAGCCAAGCGTGTTCCCTTTACAGATTTGCTGACCCTTAGACTAGACCCAAGTGGTCCTTGGAGGTTTGGAACTCTCCACTAGATTTTTCTGGATATTACAGTGGGAGAAGGGTGATTGCAAAGATCTGATAAGGCAGAGACTGGAAAACATAAATATACTGTGGTTACCTCAGATAAGATGTAAAAGCCTGGTAAATCATGGGAGAGCTGGTCCAACTGAAGCAGAAGTTGGAGAATGTAGAGTAACTTAACAGTTCAAGAGCAAAGGGAGTTTCTTACTAATTGAGCTAGATGGGACCTTGGTGAGACTCAATCCCAAGTATCTTAGTGAGATTTGCTTATGATGACATCTGCAGAGGATAAGCAAACTGAGCAGTGACTCAGTTCCAAGCAGGACAGGCAGAACTATGTGATCCAGTGACAGGCAGTTTCCCCTTAGTACTGCACTTCTTTACTAACTTTCCTCAAGTCATTTAGCATCCAGATTTATCCAAGCATTTCCAAAGGCAAATGTGGACTAACAAATGGATCTGTAAGGAAGGCTCTGGAAAGTAGTCCCCAGGCATACAGTCTCCCTAAAAGATCACATTTCTGCTCAGAGACAGAGGGAGAATTCAGGACTGCAGAATCATCCTCATGTTTTCCTAAGTCAGTGATTTGGTTAACATTTTATTTTTGCTCTTATTGATCACTATTAGAGAGGTGAGCAAAGTAGGGCGGGTGATAAGGGAGAGAGAGAATTAAATAAAATCAATGAGATAATCATCCCTAGGAGTCTATTCCTCTTAGACTTTCAGCTGTGGCATATAACATTCCATGTGGATTCTGAACCAGATTGTGGATGACGTTGGGGAGGAAGATCAACCTGAAAGCCAAAAAGATTCACAGACTGTGTTAAACTTGAAAGTTATAGTCAAAGTTTGCAGATGGCCAGCTCTCTTAACATTCCTACAGAAAGGCAGTTGATCACCTGCAGTTAGGTGGAACTTATCTTGCCAGGGAAAATACACCTGCTGGGAGAATGAATTTGGACATTAGAGCTCCAGAAAGGTTTCATGACTCGTTACCAGAGAAAACTAACTTGCTTCCTTGAGAAACTGGTAACACTGGTTGCATTATCGGGAATACAACTGATGGTGGCTTATGTCCTTTATAAATGAGAAAAACAAGAACACATCATTCCCCCACATTGCTCCACCCTGCTTCTTCAGTCTAAGAAGGTAACCAGGGACCAGGGCTGGAGCAGACAATTTCTGCTCCCAACAGGACTACGGCTGAAGTGGGGAGCTGGAAGAGGGATTCAAAAATCAGAAGATAGTTGTGAGGTGAGAAAAAAACAGGACGAAAGGGGAAATTGAAAGATCAGCATGCTTAAGTGACCAAAAGCAGCTCTCAGAAGTATAATCCAGAACCAGAAAATAAAGCACCAGGGAATCAGAGAAGCAATAGCAAACTGGTAAAAAATAAATGGCTAGATCTGGGAGTATAGGACAAGGAACTCAAGCGGCCTGAGCAGCAAGGTGTAGGCCATGGCAAAACTCGGGTCCACAATAAAATTGGTTGGGCAGGTGGGTACATAAGGAATACTAAGAACTCTCCTAGGACTTCATGCTATAGCTTTGGCTTTAGTGATTCTGAGGAATCATGTGAGATGGTTTGCCCTGGGTAAGTATTAGGGTAGTAATTTTACTTCCCCCAAATCAGAGGCATCACTGAATATTTTCTGGGAAGCCTTGCAAAGGGACAATGGGTTCAAATGGTAGTTCAACTTGACTCTTTTGAACATAATCTAAGGAAAGAAATTACTTTCATTAACGGCCACTTGGGACGATTCAAACTCACACTGCCAATTACCTGCTTCCAGCATCTCTGTGTCCAAACCCTACCTGGATCAACTGTGTTTCTGGTACTCACACTGACATTGGTCTTGGTCTTGTATCACTGTCAGGGTCACTCCAGTCCTACACATTGGACTGCAGTAAAATCCAGAAGTAAGTTCTCTCAGGACTCCTATAATAGGTTGAAGATAATGCCTGTAAGTGTTGTGGGATCCTAGCCTGGGCCCAGGAACATACAATTCTGCAACTGTTACCACAAGACCTGAGTAAGGATTAATACATTCAGCAATACAGCTGCAACAGGTAACAGTGGAAGATTTGTTACTGAAATGCTGTGTCCCTGGTGACAATTTTTTTTTTAATAGTTTTCTTTTTTTTAAATTTGGTACCAGGGATCAAACTTGGGACCTTGTGCTTGAGGTAGGTGGAGAACCACTGAGCTAAATCCCTGGCCCGACTGGCTCCTTTTTATGTTTATTTATTTATTTATTTGGTACCAGGGATCGAACTCGGGTCCTTGTGCTTGCGAGGCAGGCAGTGGAACCACTGAGCTAAATCCCCGGCCTCCCGGTGACAAATCTTTTTTGGGGAACCTAGGAACTCTTTTGATGTACGAAGACTTGATGGTCCTGAACTGGAATATCTAGGAATTCCTAAGTAGATGGAAGTCTATCAATTGCTTTTTGACTTAAAATGTTTCTTACATAATCTTTTCTTTATAGGACAAAGTCTAACTTTCATGGTGCCTCAAAACTGATAGGGGTTAGGAGAATTTGTAAGTTTTTCAAAATAGCAGACAGTGAAAGAACAGAACTAAAAGTTAACTGTATGGAACAAATGAGTATTGAGCCTCTACTATTAACCAATATTGTTTACTTCCTTACTCATTAAATCAAGGGAGCTGTTTATGTGCCAAAATCCTTCAGTAAAATAGACATCAACCCAGGGTGGTGACACACCTGTAATCCCAACACTTAGAAGACTGAGGCAGGAAGACTGCTGTGTGTTCAAGGCTACACAATCAGTTCAAGACCAGTCTGAACTACACAGTAAGGCCTTGTCTCAAAAAAACAAACAAACACAGACAGTGGTCAATGCTGTGAAATGCTGTTACCTCCTTTCTTCCTGATTCCTATCAGGTACTCTGAGATGTTTCCAGTCTATGTGGTGTTATTTGAAAGCCACTTGGGAAAAGTTCCATTCCGTAAATCTTAGTAGAAGCAGAAATGGAGACAGTTTGAATACATAAAGACTGCTTTATAGGATATGATGGGAAAATTAGATAATCAAGCAAGTGGGTTATTAATTATAAACCTACTCACAGACTCAGGAGAAGCAATTTATAAAATATTGGCAGGGCCAGAGGAGAGGAAGCAAATTATCCCAAACTGTTCATCTTCAACAGCACTATCTTCCTCTTTAGACTTTGCCATTTTAGCCAATAGTGTCATCATTTTCTACTGAGCAGGATTCAAGTTTCATCTGCTGGGAAGCTTTCCCTAGTCTTGTAGCCCTTTGTCTCACCCTTCCGCATGCATCCATTCAACAACCACCTCCTCCATGCAGTCCATCTGCCCTTGGTGATCTCATCAATCTCCACGAGTATTCTAAAAACTGCAGGTGCTCAAAGCACACTGACACTATGACAGCATCGATGTTAGTTACTAAAAACAGGTTCCTGTGCAGGAATTGGTACAGACTGCAGGCTGCCTTAATTTAGGATATGAAGGATCACCTGGTCTTTCTCCGCACACAACACAGTCTTGGCCTGGGTCCCCTGTTTTATCTTTTTTCTAGGTCAGATCCTCCTCTTCCAGCAGAGGGGATACTCAAATGTGGGGATCCAAAGCAGAGGACTAAAACGAAACAAATTCAGTTCTTCAATGTGTGTGGCTGTGTGGGGGGGTGTCTTGGAGAAGATTAGTATTGGTGGCCAATCCCTGAGTTCTGAGGGGCTCCCCCAATCATTTTGGCCAGGCCACCCCTTAGGCCCAGCACTGCTCAATATGTCAGCATGCTACTGTCTTTTGTACTATACCTCAGGCCCTGAATATAAAGCAGGTTGAAACTGTAGGCTTTCTTTTGGGGTCCTTCCCGAAGACCACGCCTCCCTGGGAACAGAGATATAGATGACCCCCTGAAGCAGAAGGAACAGCACAGCCATAACAAGGTGAGATGTGGGCAGTGAAGAAATCCAAATGTGTTGAGCAAAAGAAATCAAGAACAAGCAAATATCAGAAGTCAACAGTTGGGCTGGGGATTTAGCTCAGTGGTTCCATCACCTGTCCCACAAGCGCAAGGACTCAAGTTCAATCCCCAGTACAAAAAGAAGTTAACAGTCAAAAGCACTTCAAAGTGGTGAATAGTAAGGAAGATGGCTCCATAGTCCATCACAGAATAAATAGGAGGGCCATGATAAGTATGGAGAAATGGTAAGGACTGAAAGCAGATGAGCAGCAAATGAAGGGGTCCAACCATAAGGTAGCTTCCTGGCTCAGGCTCAGCGACCTCGGGTTCCTTTCATTTCACCATGGTGTGAACCAATCTTGAGCCAACCAGGTGGAAAGGCTTGCTGAAGATGAGGCCTGCAGAAGCTGGCTGGCAGGACGGTGGATTTTGTGATGGGCTACAGGGTGAGGCATTTGCCCACCAGCTGCTCTCTGCAAATGACTCCAAGTTTCAGAACTTGTTGCCTTCTTCCTCACCAATGAGCTATTTTTCCTAGTTTTCTTTGAAAGATCAGACTGAAACTCAAGTTTTCCAGGTTTAGATTCATCCTTCAAAATACTTGATATAACTTTGGCAGAAATCTTCCTCATATTTAAGTTTTCTTTCAGAATGAGTCTAACGGTTTCTTTATCTAAATTTAACTCTTCAGCCATCATCCTCACTGTTAACTGCCTGTTTGAACAAACCAAATTCCTGACCTTCTGGATATTTTCATCTGTCCTGTGGGTGACAGGACGACCACTTCGTGCATCATCTCGAACATCTTCCCGCCCTTCTTTAAACCTTTTGTGCCAGTCAAAAACCCGGGCCCTTGACATGACTTCATCCCCATAGGCTTCTTTTAAAAGATGGTGGGTCTCACTTGCAGACTTGTTCAATTTTACGCAAAATTTGATACTTATCCTTTGTTCTAAATAGCGATCACTCATCTTGGCATTAAACAACACGGGAACATTAACAGGTCACAATTGTGAGGGGAAGACAGAGGGACCAATCTCTATAGGACTGTAGACATAATCACGTCGCTATTCTTGCTCCTCTGGAAGCCTCGCCAGGAAAGAGTAAAGTGCTTTTCTGAGTTTTCGCCCCTTAGCGTCTAGTCGAGGTTGGGGAGGCTCAATCTGAGAAGCTAACGGGGCCAATAAGTAGATGCAAAGCTGGGGAATAGTAAATCCTCTATAACCCACGTCTGTGACCAGCCGGTGCACACAGTTCTGACACGGAGTTTGCAAATCAGTCACCAAGATAGTCCTGATTCCGCTGCTCTTAGGAGTGTAAGGCGATTATTGCAATACAATAAAGCAATAGGAGAACTGCAACGGTGATGTAACGTACAAACTCGCCCCAAATCTGCTAAACCCACGCATGCCAAACCTACCCGCGCAGCCCAGGAGTCGCTTGCTCTAGTTCCCGGACACTGGCCCGCATGCGCAATTCCCTCCTGACGAATTACGCTGCGCGCAGGCGCAGAGTCCGCCTGCGCCGGGTCCCACCTTCGCCTCGCCACACCCTGGCAGGCTCCCTTCAGTGCGCGTGCCCACCAGCTTAAAAAATCGGTGGAAAGGAGGGCGGGGAGGAAGGCTGAGGGAAGAGAGGGCACCGCCGGGCGTCAGGGTGCATTGTGGGAAGGAGGCGGCAGCGTCCCGGGCGGGCGGGAGGTGCACCAGCGGTGGCGGCGGCGGTAAATCCTCCCGGCCGCTCACAGCACTGTAGAGCCACGTCCCCAGGCCGGCCTCAGACCGCGCGCCCCTCCTGCCCCTCGCGGCTCCTCGCACGCCCGCCCCTCCCCCCACGCGCCGGCCTTACAGAGCCGGCCGGCCGGCCTGGCTCCCCTCCCCGGCCCCGACGGGCGGGCGGGCTGCCCTGAGGAGGCGGGGAGGGGAGGACTGGGCCGGCCGGCGGGCGTGCGACGATGCCGAACTTCTGCGCGGCCCCCAACTGCACGCGGAAGAGCACGCAGTCCGACCTGGCCTTCTTCAGGTTTCCGCGGGATCCGGCCAGGTAAGCGCGGCGCGGCGCGGCTCGGCTCGGCTCGGCGCGGCGCGGCTCGGCTCGGCGCGGCTCGGCTCGGCTCGGC